ATATTTCCCAGTGTCTGTAAATTAGTATGTCCTTTTGTGTGCCCCCCTCATCCTTGTTGTGTAGCTGGTACCAGATCCTAGTCTCTTCCAGCTGTGCCAAACTTTTCCAAGTCATAAGATACAGCTACAGGAAGATCTTTGCCAGGAGTAAACCACCTGGGTTCTGCCTCTGTGCCACTATAAATTTTGAGCAGGTCACTTTAATTCAGAATCTCACTTTCCACTTTGGAAAAACACATGGTCTAGGTGAGTTCTATAGTCCTTGTCACTCAACAATATCACAATGTAATATGAGGGACAAAACCTTGGTAAAATGTCAATAGATATTGGCATTAATTTTTGTAATTTTCAATGAGCTAATCTGTTTATTTTTCCCAGACTTTGCCCTGAGGAATTTGAACTTTACCCTGAGAAATTTTGTCTTCCTCTATTCCAAAGATCCTAATTCAGTACTGACAGTATATAAATTTGGGGGAGCACATCGCTTCAGGTAGTATATAAATTTGCCCATGGAGTACATTACTTCAGGTAGTTAAGCTCTCTGGTAGCCTCAAACCACCTTCTCTGCTTACATCCATGGGCAATCCTGACCAAGAGGACTGGTTATTTAAAAATGGAAGGAACTTGGGGATTGGTCAGTGAAGAAGAATACAATAAAAAAAGCATTATGTTTCAGACCCATAGAGTACATGTCATCCCAGAGACATCAATTAATGGGAAAAATAAAAGACTGCTCCTGGCTGTCGTAGCTCAGTGGATTGAGTGCAGGTCTGAGAACCAGCGATTTGATCCCCAGTCAGGGTACATGCCTGGGTTGCAGGCCAGTTTCCTGCAGGCCAGTTCCAAGCAGTGGATACACTAGAGGCAACCATACATTGATGTTTCTCTCCCTCTCTCCTTCCCCTCTAAAGATAAATAAAATCTTTAAAAAAAAAAAGACTGTGGCTAACCAATTGTGAACACTTCTTCCCCTCCCCTATTAACCTAGGAATGACCAGACAAGGGTCCTCTGTCACGGCATGTGTGGAGAGTAAAGATAATAGAAAAGTAATCACAAGACATCATGCTCTCAGAGAGCAGAAGGAATCCTCAGTGTGCTAAATCCAGAGGGAAATCTTAGCTTTTCAGAGTTCCTTTTTCAATGTCATGATGATAAAATGGAAACATGTTAGGCCACCATTATCTTTCTTTCTGCATCTCCAAAATCATCCAGGCTCCTGTTGGCACAAATTGACTTGTGACTTTCTTAAGGCTGGATTTTGGTTCCATTTCCGAATACATAAAAGGTTTAGTGAGAAGCCCCATTGAGGAGAATGGGGAGGAAAATACCACCCTGCTCCCACTCCTCAAAGCCTGGAAAAGGAATAGCAAATGGAATTGTAGAACACTGAGTAAGTTCCTTGGGTAGGAAAAAACGTTCACTATCTGCTTGGCTTTGGATTTTGTGGGGACAGTCTAAGATCAGACAAAGGGTGTTTGAGAAATAAGATATATCACTTAAATAATCAGTTCACCAAAATGTCTATAATTTAATTAAATGACAGGGCTGATCTTCTAGCTCTTGAAGAGCTCTTTTTAATTAAACTTTGCATTTCTTCTCTCTGCTCTGTGGGGCATTCCAGAGTAGCATTTGGCTTTGAATGTGCAGTCATTTTGGCCACCCATGATGATTTGGAAAAGCCCCACTGCTGAGTTAACAGAATTTTTAATATGAATATCACTGACTCTTCATTTTTTACTGATATTCAGAAACTTCCATTAGCATTAATGAAACTTTTCTGTTATTTTATTTATTATTTTGTGGGCTGTCTGCAAAATATCTGCCTTTATATAGAACTCAGATGTTGACTGAGTTCCAGATCAAATTTCAGTTCTTCCATTTATAAAATGGTGTCAGAGTTCTTACTCTTAATACAAAACTATTATACACTTTAGGTTAAGATTTTAAAAGCTCATAATAATGTGTGTGGCATTACATCTATAGTATAGTAGCTAGAATTCATGAATAGCCAGGGTAACCAGTTACCCTGCATTAAAGTGTAGGGTAAAGAGGAAGCTGCTGCTGTAGGAAATTGCTTGAGTCTCAAGTATCAGTGTTAATGCTTACAGTGAAGATAATCCATCTAGGGTAAAAAGAACATCAAATTATAATGTAGACATTATTATTACAAACTACCCATGTCTTCCTACTGGAAGAGGGCTTTGTACACATTTAAGAAAACTGACTAACAGGTAAGGGTGAGCAAACTGATGAACAGATAAGAAAGAAAAGAATAAGGAAAACATGAATAAAAATGAGGATGTGGTAACTGACTTACTATAACACTGACTATAATAATTTGAAAATATGTGGCCATTTTCTGCTCTGTAGAAATATACTTCACACACACACACACAAACATGTTTCAGCTGAATTGTTTACACAGATATACATAATCCAAATGCCTCCAACTAAACTCTTGCAAAAAGTGAGTCAGAACATCATAGATTTCAGATTGAAACAAAATATGCCAAAGGAATTTAGATTTTAAAATCCAAGATTAATCTTGGTGGATGGGTATTAAAAATATTACTATAAACTTCCCAACAAATTTTTTTGTAAACTGTTAAATTAGTGTGTCAAACAAACTCCTAAAACTGATCATTGGAATTTTTTAAAAACAATTTGCAATATGAGATGTCTGGAAAAACTCATTTTTGCTCTACTGTAACCATTAATATCTTGTGCTTTGGGAAACAATTTATTTTACAGCAAATGCTAAGTCAGAAGTAATTACATTGTAATGTGAATGTAGGAAATAGGAAATTTTACATTGGAAAGGGTCCAAGAAGTTTTTCAAAGTTTCACTCTCTTCCTTTTTTAAAAAAATTTATTTAGTTATTTTTCAAGTACAGTTTTTTTTGTTTATTTCTCCCATTCCAGCCTCCCCTGCTCCATGCTCCCCACCTCCCTCCATTTCCATCCCCTTTAGTTCTCATCCCTGTGTCCTTCCTATTTGTTGCTCCAAATCCCTCCCTGATTTTCCCCTTAAATTCCCTTCCCTCTCCCCTCTGGTCACTGTCCCCTTGTTCTCTATTTCAGTGTCTTTGTTTTTTATTCTGCTTGCTTGTTTGTTTGTTGTTTAGCTTCCTGTTAAAAGTGAGATCATATGGTATTTGTCTTTCAACTCCTGGCCTATTTCACTCAGCATAATGCTTTCCAGTTCCATCCATGTTGTTGCAAAGGGTAGTAGCTCCTTCTTTCTCTCTGCTGCATAGAATTCCATTGTGTATATGTACCATAATTTTTTGATCCATTCATTTACTGACTAGCACCTAGATTGCTTCCAGCTCTTGGCTATTGTAAATTGTGCTGCTATGAACATTGTGGTGCATAGGTTCTTTGAAATTGATGTTTTAGGATTCTTAGGATATAATCCTAGCAGTGGAATTGCTGGGTCAGAAGGCAGGTCGATTTTTATTTTTCTGAGAAAATTCCATACTGTTTTCCATAATGGTTGTACCAGTCTGCAATCCCACCAACAGTGAACTAAGGACCCCTTTTCACCACAACCTCTCCAACATTTGTTGTTTGTTGCTTCGTTTATGATAGCCATTCTGATCGATGTAAAGTGGTATCTCATTGTGGTTTTAATTTGCATCTCTCTGATAGCTAGTGATATTGAGCATCTCTTCATGTGTCTCTGGATGTTCTGTATGTCCTCCTTGGGGAAGTGTCTGTTCAAGTCCTTTTCCCATTTTTTAATTGGGTTGGTTGTCTTCTTAGAGTGGAGTTGTGTAAGTTCTTTGTATATTTTGGAGATTAAACCTTTGTCTGAGGTATCATTGGCAAATATGTTTTCCCATACAGTTGGTTGTCTTTTTAATTTAATACTCACTGTCTTCCTTTTGAATACAATTACAGAATGCATTTGACTTGTTTCTTCTCCACATGAAAGCAAAGTAATTTTGGTTGCTCTGTTTTGCTGTTTTTGAGGGTTTGATTCTAATAACTAGTTGTAAACAATTTGGGAATTTTTTTTTATTACTATAGGAATGCAATAGTCTCTCTAAAGTATGCTTTGCTTCAAAACTGACTAATGTCAAAATTATCTATATCATTAATGAACAAGAGTGGCTTCAAATACTATATAGGGAAATCTGTTCCTCTTAAGATCAGGATCAGAAACACAGCAACAAAGAGAATAAATCCATTCATAACAACAATTGAACAACCATGGAAGGAAATTGCTGAGATCTTTTTTCTAGCACAAAACAAGGAACTCAACTATTAAAGGAAAATAACCATTATTATTTCTATACTCCAAAATGTAAAGTGGATCCCGAGTCTCTCTTTCACTATAATTCTTCAAGCCTTTGGAAAAATGACTTTCTAAGCTGGGCATGCTGAATGCATAAACACAAAGGACCTTACTAGGCAGATGTAATTGATGCTATGATCACTCATCAACCAATATATTTAGCTAGTGGAGGATTTGGGTAGCATTATTTTATACAAATCAAAGCCCATTAAAAATGAACTTCAAGGGCAAATAAAATACATGTGAAAAAATTTTAGCAGTTTTGAAATGCAATGCCAATCTAAGAAAGTATTTTTTTAATGTCAGATATATATAGAACATATGGCAGAGGTTTGGGACTCATTTTTAGATGGAAATTTCAATGATATTTATTCAAAATGAGTATGAATATATCAATATAAATATATATTTATAAATATATAAAATAAGTGTATATATATATATATATATATATACACACACACACACACACACATGTATTTTAGGGAATTAGCTCATGTGATTATGGATGCTAATAAGTCCAAAGTCTGCAGGGTCAGGCATGCAGTGGGGAGGGAACACACCATGTGCTAGTGCCCCCCACCCATTCCACTACTGCTACCTCTTTCTTCTGCCACTTCTGGTGCTGCTTATGTGCTCATTTGGTTGGGACCTGGTACCTCTTTTGTGAAGTGACAGCTGGAGACTCTAGCACTTGCCATGGCCTATGAAAAGCCCAAGGAAGGAGTCAAAACTGAGAACAAGAATCATATGGCAGGCAGGAGAGTTCTGTGGCGAAGATTAAGAGTGGTGTACACCACGTAGTAAACCAGTGAAAGCCTATTGTGAACAACAAAGTTTGTCAATGAGGTATATCAGATTCGGATTTGACGGGCGTCCAATCAGTGAAACAGATGCACCAGCACAGTTGGAAATGGAGGATGAAGATGCAGTTAATGTGTTCAAGCAGCAAACAGGAGGTGTCTACTACAAGAGGAACTTGTTACTCCAGAACTCGGTTCCTCCAGACCAAATCTCAGTTAGAAAACCACCATTTGATTCCACCACATCCTGACTACTACAGGATAGTTTTCTCTATCCTTTCATTTTTTCCTTTCTGTTTTCTTTATTGTACATTGAGTAATATATGTACACAAGCATTTTTATTTTTTAAAACTAAATGGGCTGTGGTATGTTTTGATGGAAATAGGAAGGCAAAAAAATACTGGTTTTATGAAAATACCTCCCTTCTCTATTAGTGACATGTTCATACAGCTCTTTGTATTTCAGTTATTTTTTCCTCTCATTTTTTAACAAAAAAAAACAATAAAAATTTTTGAAGTTCAATTGAAGAATTTTAATATTTTTTCATTTATTATTGTAAAACCAAGGACAATTTTATAATGTTTTTGCATATAGCTATTACATGTAGGGCGATCTGCTTTTAAGTAGAGATAAATTATTCTAAAAGAAATGAATCAGGTGCCTGGCTTGTCTCATGCTACATGCCTAGCGGCTGCTTGGAACCATGCACCTGAGACCGAGTGGCTGATTTGAGCCTGGAAGCTCATGGAAGACCTGAGCTGGAGGCTGGGAAACTATGAATATTGCAGCCCAGACCACCTAGTTCCCATCCTCTAAAACCCATAGGAAGGAAGAAATACAAAGCCCAGCCCCCCTCCTCCTGTGGAATCTAAGAAGACGAACAGAACTTACTGAACAGGTTTAAAGTGAGCAGCAGGCTTATTATTACTATTTTCTTTTTGGTTCCTCTGCTCTTCTCTCTCTCTTTTTCATTCCTTTTTTTCTTCCCCCAAGTGAGACAATAAGATGTGGTGTTACGAAGGGTCCAGAGACAAACCAAAAGGGGGACACAAGGCTAACCCCCAAAACTGAGAAACTGATACAAATGCCACTTTGCTGTCTCATAGAGCTGGCTTTTTATTGTTAATGTGTATTATTATTTTTCATTATTTTTACCACTTTATTTTTTTAGATTCTTTTCCTTATGTTTAGGTTTCCTCATTTTATTTCTCTGTTTAATTGCATTGTTTGACTGGTTTTCCTTCTCTCTTTCATATTGTATTTTAATTTTCCTTCTTTCACTTCACCCATGTTTCAATAACACAATTCTCGATCGGGTATGTTCTACTCTGGTTGTCCAAATTATATATTTCTTGTCATATTATTGTTGTTCCAATACTATTGTAAATAATTGTTGTTCCATACAATTGTACATACTACACAGCAACCCTCCCTAATCTTAGCCCACTTCACTTTAATCCTGAGCATTATTATTGTTGTGGTTAACTCTATTCTCTCTCACACTATGCCTACTTTCTATCCTTTAATCTCACTATATATCATCATATAACCTTGCACAATTACTGTTTTCTGGATTCAGCTCACAATCATCCTCCCCTCTAACAAGAGTCTTATCTGTCCTTCACCTTTGATAAAGTGGCTAGTTGAGTGAAATATTACAGTTAATACTACACTTATCCAAAGACTCTCCTATCTCTTCTCTACTTGCTGGTACTTAAAATACCATAAAATATGCTCCCGCTGTCTTAATCCTTAAACACTCTGCAAAGTGGGAATAGAGGGAGCATTCCTCAATATAATAAAGGCCATATATGAGAGACCTACAGCCAACATCATACTCAATGGGCAAAAACTAAACGCTTTTCCACTAAGATCAGGAACAAGAGAAGGATGTCCACTTTTACCACTTCTATTCAATATAGTATTGGAAATTTTAGCCACAGTGATCAGACAAGAAAAGGAAATAAAAGGCATCAAAATTGGAAAGGAGGAAACAAAACTGTCACTGTTTGCAGATGACATGATAGTATACTTGGAAAACTCTATAGACTCTACCCAAAAATTGCTTGACCTAATAAATAAATTTGGCAAAAAAGTGGGATACAAAGTCAATATCCAGAAATCAAAGGCATTTTCATATACCAACAATGAAACAGCAGAAGCAGAAATCAAGAAAAATATCCCATTCAATATAGCAAAAAGAAAAATTAAATATCTGGGAATAAACCTAACCAAGGAGGTAACAGACCTATATGCAGAAAACTACACAACACTGAAGAAAGAAATCAAGGAAGACACAAACAAATGGAAACATACCATGTTCATGGATTGGAAGAATTAACATCATCAAAATGTCCATACTACCCAAAGCAATTTACAGATTCAATGCCATACCTATTAAAGTACCAATGGCATATTTCACAGACATAGAACAAACACTTCAAAAATTTATATGGAACCATAAACAACCCTGAATAGCAGCTGCAATTCTGAGAAAGAAGAGCAAAGTAGGAGGGATCACATTACCAGATACCAAACGGTATTACAAGGCCACTGTAGTCAAAATCCTAGTACTGGCATAAAAACAGACACATGCACCAATGGAAAAGAATAGAGAGCCCAGAAATAAACCCAAGTCTCTACAGTCAATCAATATTCAACAAAGGGGGCAGTAACATAAAATGGAGTAAAAATAGCCTCTTTAATAAATGGTGTTGGGAGAAATGGACAGCTATGTGCAAAAAAAAATGAAACTGGAGCACCAACTTACACCATACACCAAAATAAATTCAAGGTGGATAAAAGACTTAAATATAACCCATAACACCATTAAAGTCTTAGAGAAGAACATTGGCAGGAAAATTTCAGTTATTTCAGGCAGCAACTTTTTTACTGATACATCCCCTAGAGCAAGGAATATAAAGGAAAGAATAAACAAATGGGATCTCATCAAAATAAAAAGCTTCTGCATGGCTAAAGAAAAGAGTATTAAAATAAAAAGACAACCAACTGTAGGGAAAACATATTTGCCAATGATACCTCAGACAAGTAATCTCCAAAATGTATAAAGAACTTACAACTCCACTCTAAGAAGACAAGCAACCCAATTAAAACATGGGCAAAGGACTTGAACAGACACTTCTCCAAGGAGGACATACAGAACATCCAGAGGCACATGAAAAAATGCTCAATATCGCTAGCTATCAGAGAGATGCAAATTAAAACCACAATGAGATACCGCTTTACACCAGTCAGAATGGCCATCCTAAACAAAGCAACAAGCAACAAGTGTTGGAGACATTGTGGGGAAAAGGGGACCCTAGTTCACTGCTGGTGGGATTGCAGTGTGGTACAACCACTGTGGATAACAATATGGAATTTTCCAAGAAAACTAAAAATGGATCTGCTTTTTAACTCAGCAATTCTACTGCTTAGGATTATACCCTAAGAACCCTAAAACACCAATCCAAAAGAACCTATGCACCTCAATGTTCATAGCAGCACAATTTACAATAGCCAAGAGCTGGAAGCAACCTAGGTGCCTGTCAGTAAATGAATGGATCAACAAATTATGGTACATGTAGACAATGGAATTCTATGCAGCAAAAAGAAAGAAGGAGCTCCTACCCTTTGCAACAGCATGAATGGAACTGGAAAGCATTATGCAGAGTGAAATAAGCCAGGTGGTCAAAGACAAATACCATGTGATCTCACCTATACCAGGAACCTAACCAATAAAACAAACAAGCAAGCAAACTATATCAAAAGACACTGAAATAGAGAACTGGGTGACAGGGACCAGAGAGGAGAGGGGAGGGAATTTTAGGGGGAAAGGGGAAAGATTTACAGGAACAAGTACAAAGGACACATGGACCAAAACTAAAGGGGTTGGAAATGGGAGGGAGGTGGGAAGCACTGGGGTGGGTGGAATGGGATGGGAGTAAAAGACAGAAAACTGTACTTGAACAGTAATTAAATTAAAAAATTAAGAAAAAAACAATCAAGGAAAATATAACCAAAGACATCAAAATTGAGAACAGGCTGGCAGTGACCAGAGGGGAGAGGATAATTGGAGAAAAGGGTGAAGGGTTTACAGGTACAGTTATAAAGGGCACATGGACAACAATAACAAGGGGGGTGGAGAGAGGGGAAGGAGGTGGGGAAGGCTAGAATGGTGGTGGGGTTGGGGTGGAAAGGAAGAAAACTGTACTTGAACAACAATTTTAAAAAGTTAAAAAATAAAAAAGGAATGAATCTATAGTTTTCCCTTCAGGTCAACCATCTTGTTTAGATAAAACTTTTGTTTAAAATAAGAAAAAAAAACCCATAACCCCAAATCTGCAGGCTCAGTCTTTTTCCATTCAGGCCTTCAATGAACTGGACAAATCCTATTCATATTACAGTGGGCGGGGCAACCCAATTTACTGAAATCTATCTATTAGATGTTAAGATCACCCAAAATGCCCTTACAAAAACTTTTAGAATAATGTTTGACCTTATATCTGGGCACTGTGATCCTGGCAAGTGGCACATAAAATTAACCATTAGAGATGGCTTTCAACAATTCTGAGTCCCAGCATTCCAAATTAGGAAAACACATAAAGAAAACAGGCTTCTTATTCCTAGTAACCATAATCCAATTCTAAGGAAAGACTCTGATCAGGCATGCTTTTATCTAATGACTGTCCCTGAACCCAGAAATGCCCACTACTGTGATCAACAGACTCAGCAGAACCTCATGGAATGGCAAAGGGATATTGCAGGTCCTTTGTAACTGAGCACATGACCATATGGGACATGCTATGCCCTCTCATAGGTGGGTTGTTGCAATGTAAATTCCCATCCTGTGCATAGTCACATTCTGGGTGAAGGCATTTGTGGCTAAAGTCTGTGGGATAAGAGATAGGTGACAGGGTAGGCAGGGAAGTATGAGGGAAGGAAATGTGTCTCATTGATATAATCTATGACTGATTCATTGCTCACCAGCTAAGTTTATCATAGTACAAACACACTTGACAACAATGACTGCTCTGCCCAAATTAGGTAAACTTGTTTAGCATCTTCTTAATGATAGGGCTCCCCAAGTGTCAGTATGGGTATAAAGTTGGGATGTAGTATAACTATTTGTTCTTATTTTATTTCACTAGCTATAAATATTGGTATATTTGGAGAGTCATTTAAATTTAGTTATTGATCTCTGTTTAAAAGTGATATAAATATTGATAGTTTTATTTCTAGTTATTTGCATTT